CCCTCGGGGTCTTTCCATACCCCCCAACAACATCCAGGAGGGCTGCCACGGATTTTGGCTCCTCTCCTCCGGTACCTTTGGGCGCTTCTCAATCCAGGAAAGGACGTAGGGCCTCCAGCCCAGGTCGCTGTAGTCGGTGTAAACCATCCCGCAGCGGGAGACGGTGGCGGGGGACGCCACGGCGAGATTTTCCACCTCAAACAACAGGGAAACCTGAGGAGGAGAGAGCGAAAGGCCAAGTGCACATTGGCTCCTGACCAGGGTCCGCTGAGGTGACAGGAAGGAAGGAAGGAAGGAAGGAATTCGTACTTATTGTGTCTATGTACATCCCAATAATGAACTGAACATACATACATCTTTTAAAAAACAGTATCTGCCAGTCCCATTTCTCCCCAGCTGGGAACCTTCTCACTTCCGCATAATGCAGTGCCACACTGACATCTGAAGAGAATTATCTAAAGTACTTCACATTGTGAATCAAATTGTAGCAAAGTGAAATTGTCTTCTAGTGAGGTGATGGCCTGCTAGGAAGGAAGGAAGGAAGGAAGAATTCGTGTCTTACCTGCTCAGGCATGGCTATCCTCTCACCATTGATCAGAGTAAGCACTTTGTTATCATCCATGACAGAGTTCATGCTCTCAATCCACAACGTGTCCACGGGGCCATCAAAGAGGATCCATTTCTCATTGGGGTTCTCATCTGGGCAAAGAAGACGACAAAGACGAAGGAGAGGTCAAGATCTCTGAGAAATTCGTGTCTTACCTGCTCAGGCATGGCTATCCTCTCACCATTGATCAGAGTAAGCACTTTGTTATCATCCATGACAGAGTTCATGCTCTCAATCCACAACGTGTCCACGGGGCCATCAAAGAGGATCCATTTCTCATTGGGGTTCTCATCTGGGCAAAGAAGACGACAAAGACGAAGGAGAGGTCAAGATCTCTGAGAAAGCGAGCAGGCCCAGAAGACCGGATCTTGCTTCCTGGACTGAGGCAGGGCAAAGCTGGGGTCTGGGGAGGACTCTTTTGTGTAGCCCAATGGGAAGCCATGAGAGAGGACATCGAACTTGGTTGGTGAGTGGGCTGAGAAAGATCAGCACTGGGGAAAATCCCTTTTCCAGAGGACAGCTCCCAGAATCCTCCAGGCAGGACGAGCCATGGCTAGTAAACATAAAGGAGGTGAACCAATTCAGTCCCCCGCCCCCAAATCCAGTTCCTTCACGTGTAGAAGATTTTGTGCAAAAATCTTTGATTTGGCTCTTTGGCCATCGTTTCAGTCCCTCTGCCTCATGAAAGCTAGAAACAGGCCTTCTTAAATGAGGAAGCTGGTGTGCCGCGAGTTCCGCAAGATCTCTCATAGCTGCCATTTTGGGTCTCTCAAAGGAAGAGAACCGTGGTTTGGCATGGAAACGAGGACCAGCAAACGAGACATGGGGAAACAAGGATTGATTTGAGACCAGGCTGGGCCCGAAATTCCCCACAACCATCTGCCTCACACCCAAGCTTGGCAAACACCCCCCACCGTAGCAGCCGCGGTAGTTATGAACTACATGGATTCCAAGGCAGAGAGAGAGAGAGATAAATTTTGGAAGAGAAGCCATTCATTTCTTCCCGGGGTTTTGTTTGCAAGAGGCTGATTGGCTCAGAGAGAAAAGCGAGAAAGAAGGGCCAGCGCTCGGAGCGAAGAGGCAGGATGGGCCGCCGAGGCTGACTGGCGAGGGACCCAAATACCTGTGCAGGCTTCGCGCATGACGGAAGCCAGAATGCCATCGCACCACTCGCTGGTGGCGAGGTTGTAACGGCCAAACAGCTCCCCAAGGCTGAGGGCTTTGGGGTTCAGGGGGAAGACCTGCAGGGAGGGCAGACGGGCACAGGGGTCCCGGATTAGATCAGCACCAGGTCCCGGGTGCAAGGCAGATGCTTCCAGAGGGGTCGGGGTGGCAGACGGGCAGCGAAAGCAACCGGGAGTCCTTCACCCAGCAATAGCTCCTGATGCTATGACCTTTCGGCAGCTCAGCACCATCCTCGGGGCTGCTTCAAACTGGCCTCAGGGGGACGGAGGCCACCACAGAGGGCCAAAGGGCCTCGATCCACCTTGTCCAGGACGGGAGGCAGCGAAGGCTTCGGGCAGGGATCTTTTCCACACAGGACGGGTGGAAGCCAGGCTGGCACAGGAGTCAAAGCCCCAGGACAGGACGATGGGCTTCCAGACCGGAAGAAGGCTCTGGAGAGGAAAGGCTGGTGCATCTCATACGCACCCACAGCCCAATAATCAACATGCAAGTCGCCAGGCTCTCCTTTTGAATTATCATAGAAATTGGGGTCAAAGGAAGGTCTCCCCCCTTCCACTGCTCCCTCCCCAGAGACACCAATTCCACTGCCCGGCCCCCCACCATCAGAGAGAAAAACAAGGGCCCACAGGAGGCCCTCATGGGCCGATGTGCAAAGATAATCGCCTTTGCTCTCTTGGAGCGAGAACAATCAAGGGAACGGCGTGAGCAGCGGCCGGCAGCAGGGTCTGCCGGCGTCCCGCAGGGGTGGCACACGCATCCCCGTGCGCTCGTGGCACAGGGACACCCACCCTCCACCCCCCAAGGGCACGTCCCCACAGAGCAGCTGATGCCCTGGAGCTCACAAACGCCAACCAGCCATGCCCAGGGGCTGCGTGGCGCATGCACACTGCTTCTCGGCCCAAGGAGGGGAAGCCGGCTTAGAGAAGTGAGCGGGCAGGGGAAAGGAAAGGAATGGGGGGAAAAGCAGGAGTCAGGCGGCTTGGAAAGCAGAAGGTCAACACGGGAGCCTAGCCCAGCCGGGGTGCCTGCCTTCATGAAGTTTCCACCCGAGGCCCTTCCTGAGCGGTTGACTCAGAGCCGTGCTGGAGCAGTCCGGGATGCCAGGAGGCAGTGGGGTGAAGTGGTTAGAGTACCGGACCAGGGCTTGGGAGATCAAGGTTGCCCACCGCACTCATGCATGAACCCCACAGCGGGACCGTAGGCCAATAACACACACACACTCTCTTAGCTTCATTTACTTCACAGGTCTCTTGCAAAATTAGGGAAGACAAGCCGTGCACACAGCCTTGAGCTTCATGCAAGAAAGGCGAGATATTTGCATAAGTGACAAGTACAGCAGGATCCCCCCCCATCCAGAGGAGATTGGTTCTAAGCCCCCCTAAAGAGGCTAAAAAATATAGATTGTAGCAAACAGTATTTTAACAGCAAATGCTATATATACCGTATTTTGTGTATAAAAAGACCCTTTTTTCTAAAATAATTTGAGGAAAAATTGAGGGCTGTTTTATACGTGGAAGTAAGGAAGGTGGGATCAAAGTGCTTTGATTCCTGCCTTACCCCTCCCCCCTTTCTTGCAATGAAAGAAATTTTGAGTTAACTTTTTAGCAATGAAAGAAATTTTGGGTTAGAAAAGGCAGGTGTCTTGTACATTGGGGTGTCTTATACCATGGAAAAATATGGCAACATGGTCTCTGGCTCCCTCTCATGGCTAGTTCTGGTACCTTCACCTTTGGAAACACATATCTCTACGATTTTTCTTTTAATAGTTTTTATATTTTCAGACCATGGATAAGTAAATCAACAGATAGTGATCCTTCAGCTAAGGGAGTCCTGCTGTAATCAACAAATCATGGATCCATTTCAGTTCCTGGGCCTGCCCCCCCCCCCCCCCCCGGCGAGATGTTACTCTGAAGCCTGCTTCCTTTCTCTCTTAGAAGCCAGCCACTCAACCCGGCCAGGGCTTGAGTCTCAAGTACCTGCGCAGGCTATTCTCATGACGCTGGACAGAATGCCGTCTGTCCACTCGTTGGTGTTGAGGTCATATTCTCCGTAAAGCTCGCCCAGAGAAACTGCCTTCGGGTTCAGGGGGTACTCCTGGAAGGAGGCCAGCCCGGCAAAGGAAGAGGAAAGGACAGCAGGAAGAGGAGAGAGCAACAGCCAACGTCAGAAGGAAGCGAGAGGCCCGCAGCTCGCTGGGTAAGAAGCAACCAACCTATGGGCTTCCTCTTTCTGAGCCCCACCAGTCTGTGGGGGGCCTGGGAGACCAGCCCGAAAGAGAGGGGTAGTGGGCGCTTCTTCCCTCTCTCTGCCTCCCATCCCAAGGAGGAAACGCAGGATCAAGCCCAGCCAGCGGAGGACCATTTGGCATAGCAGAAGCAAGGAGAATGAGGGCAGAGCTGCCACGTCACCCAGGCCCAGAAGACCGCAGGAAGTCAAGGGGCAGGGGCAGGACGCTGGGGAGGAGGCCACGAGGGGGTGGACGGAGGCAGGCAAGGGAAGGAGGAAGGGAGGTGGCGGTGGCTGGCGCATCTCTTTGCCCTTCCCTGTCCTTCCCTGCCCGACGTCAGGGCCGGGAAGACTCGGCCACACCCCACTGACCCGGACCATGTTGTAGGCGGAGTCTCCGCTCTTGTGCAGGCTGCAGAGGGTGGCCTGGAGGGCCCGCCAGGTGACGGTCTTGCCGCTGCCCGTGTTGCCCACGATCATGGAGGAGTGGCGAGAATTCTTGGTCTCGTAGAGCTGGATGACCTTGGTGATGGTGAAGGGGATCGCCTGCAGCCCCATGGCCCTCAGCTCCACCTCCAGCACTTCCTTGAGCTGCAGGAAGAGGGAGGGAGGGAGGAGAGGTGCCCCTTGAGCTCAAAGGGCAGAGGGCAGACCCCTCCCCCAGGAACGGATGCCCCTGCTCCCCATCCCCACGGTTCCAGTTTCTTGGGCCGGAGGGAAAGAGGGCTGGGCAAGCCCCAGGCGGACCTTTCCGTAGTCAATGACGGGGCACTCAATGCCCGGGAACAGGTCCTGGGTGATGGCGTTGAAGAGGGGCACATCGCTGGAAGTCAGCTTGGCGATGTTCATGTCCTTCATGGCCATGAGGAGTACCTAGTCAGGAGCAGAGGAGTCGGAGGAAGAGTTTGGAGGCGAAGGCGGGGGGGGATGAAAGCCAAGTGGGAGTCAGCCTCACCCCCCACTCCCCCCCCCAAAAAAAGCAGCCACGAGGGAGCCCCGGAGATCCCTGTGGTGCAAAGGAGCTCCCACCCATTTCAGGAAGCCCCCTCTCCCCGCCAGGGACAACGGGCCCTGCCCTCTACAGCGGGAGGTCCTCTTTCTTTGCCAACAGTCTCAAGCCCACAACTGTGACTCTGTCACCCCCGCGAGGGGGCCAAGGGCTGCTTCCTGAGCTTTGGGAAGGGTGGATGGGCTTCCAGCCAGAGAGCCCTCTGTGTTGACCACATCACGGGTGGTGTGATTTCAAAAGGGGGGGCGCCGCCCGCACCTCCTCGTCCGCCAGGTCCGGGCGCACCCGGCGCTTCTTCCCAGCATAGCGGAGCAGCGAGGTGAGAGCCCGGAGGCCAAAGTCGTAGTGGTCCTGCTTGGACAGCTGTTGCACGGCCAAGGAGTAGAGCGTGTAGACCTTCTTTGCCAGGATCTGGGGAGGGGAGAGAAGGGTTCAGGGAGGCTCCTCCCAGCCCCGACTGAGCACCACAGCCCCAACCGGGCCCCCCGCGGAGGCCAGAGGCCGGCGGCCCCTACCTTGCAGTTGTTGAACCCTTCGCCAAAGAGGATGATCTCAGCGATGAGGGTGGAGTCGGGCACCACCATGGAGATGGGCCGGAACATGGACTTGAGGTTGTCCGGCAGCTCCGTCCGCCCAGCGTAACCTGCCGGGCATCACACACGGACAAAGCATCAGCACTGGGGAGCATGCGGAAAAAAAGGACGCCTGGTCTCCTTTTTCTCCCCTGCCCCAGTCTTGCAAAGCCTCTGGTCTTGAGTCTTCTCCACCACCACCACCACCCCATCATCCCCTACCTGGGTTCATGGTGATGAAAATGCCGCACGACCACACCAGGTTGATCTCGTGGCCCTCAAAGGTGAAGCGAGTCATGTTGGCCGCCAAGGCCGAGAGGATGGAGAGGATCTGCTGGGCCACCACTGACAGGACCTCGATGTTGATGCGGTTGAACTCGTCAAAGCAGCCCCAGGCCCCCGTCTGTGGAGGGCAGGGGAGGCGCATGAGTGAGTTCCAGGAGGACGCGGACAACTCGGACAAATAAGCCCAGAGGAAGGCAACGAAGATGATCAGGGGATGATCCTACTCAGGAGGGGGCTGGATCCGTTCTCCATCATCCCCAAGGGCAGGACATATAGTAATGGGATCAAGTGACCGGAAGCCGGATCAGGGCTGAACGTCAGGAAAAAAACTTCCTAACTGTTAGAGCGGTACGACAACGGGATCCGTGACCTCGGGGGAGAGGTGGCGAGCCCTCCAACGCTGGCACTTCCTGTTAGAGCGGTACGACAATGGGATCCATGACCTTGGGGAGAGGTGGCGAGCCCTCCAACGCTGGGGAGGCCTTCAAGAGAAACTTAAGACCACCCTCTGTCCGATCTGCTCTCATTGGGATTCCTGCCTTGAGCTGGGGGGGGATTGGACTCCATGGCCTTGTAAAGCCCCCTTCCGGCTCCATCACGCTAGGATGCTACGCCTCAGGGGCCAGGGCCCACCAGGTTGGCCCACCCGACACGCCAGGTGCCCGAGCGGAAAGCCCCTTCCTTACCTGTGCCAGGCCGGAGTACATGCGGCCCATGGACTTGTAGTCCAAGCCCTCGGAGCAGTTCACCACAATCACGTACATGCCCAGCGCCTTCCCCAGGTCCTTCACCGTCTCGGTCTTGCCCGTGCCGGCGGGCCCTTTGGGGGACCCTCCCCGGTGAAGGTGGAGGGCTGTCGTCAGCGTCATGTAGCACCTGCCGAAGAAGCCCGCCCCCAAACTTCAGCCCACCGCCCAAGCTCTCTTCCTGGGAGACGTGGGACACCCATCCAGGACTGGCTTCTCACTCCCGCTGGCCACCCAGACACTCTCCCACTCCCAGTTAGCCTCTTCCTGGTTAGGCTTCCCTGCCTCCCCCCCTCTTGAGAACAGGGTCCTCTTCTGTTCTCCCAACCCCACCCTCGTGCTCCTCCCGAGAGACTCCTGTGCAAATCCGGGCTGCAATCCGTCCGCCCCCCCGTCCCTCCCACTCTCCTTCCTAGGCCCATCCAGGACCCCAAATTTAAAAAATAATAATTAAAAATTGTAAAAATATAAAATAAAATAGCCAGCCTCTGCAGCCCTCCTGCCTCCCCCCCTTGCCGTGGGGTACCTGTCGGTGAGTGGCGTGATGACCAGCCGTCCAGAGTTTCCCAGGTACTCGTAGCCATAGGCAAACTGCGTGTTGGTCTGTCGGATGACGCAGTCGTCCAGGTCCTGAAATGAGTTTCCGCAAAGAGCGGGGGAGAGAGAGAGATCAGCGAGGAGTCCCTTTATTACCAGGATGCTCCCAGGGGCTGCCTGTGGTTATAGCATCTGCGCAACTAGAAGAGCCACAAGTCAGATCTTGTCCTTAAGCCCCGGCTGGCACCAAGGGAGGCACAGCCCACGCCTCGTCAACCATCTCACGGGGCCAACAACGTCCTCTCTGCAGCTCCGCCAGTTTGATTTTGGGGTGCTCCACGCACACGCAGGCACACACAGCTACACACAGAGGTTTGCCCCGGTTTTCAAAGAAGAAACAGTGTTAATTCTTTTTTTTTTTAGCATGTACCCCCAAACCAAAAAAATGTACTGAAATGCCTTGAAGCTTAACAGTGGTTTTTTTTCCAGTGTAAGTCCTGTTCTTGTTTTTTGATGGCACACAGGTTTCTTTCTGTAGCTCTGCTGAAAGGACGCTTCACATGCTATACATGGAGGCAGGTGGGGGCCAGAGGTGTTGCGCCCTGATCCCTCCCACCCTTGTCTGCCTGCTCCCGAGGTGTAGCTGTAAAGGCATCTTAGGCAAGGGCAGGGAGCCGGCGGGAAGAGCAGGAGAGAACACAGAGAGCCTTCTCCCAAAAAAGCCTGTGCCATGCGGTGGCAAAGAGGACTCGGCGCTGGGGACATCCGTGGCCAAAAGCAGGCGGTGGGCGCGCCACCCGGCTGCCTCTCTGGACCCCTCCCTCCGTCAAGCCATCTGCTATCACGGATGAGGACTCAAGTCGCGGGACCCCCTATGAAGTCGGACCTCAGTCGCACCAGTGACTCGCCTGGGACTCAGGACTGAGGTTCCCCCCCCCCCAATGACTCAGACTCAGTCTGACTGCTATCACGGATGGGGACTCAAGTCGCGAGACCCCCTATGAAGTCGGGCCTCAGTCGCACCAGTGACTCGCCTGGGACTCAGGACTGAGGTTCCCCCCCCCCCAATGACTCAGACTCAACTCACAAATCCTTTTTTTGGTGGTGGGAAGAGTTTGTTTTTAATAAGAGGTTTGCAGCTTGGGACCTGGTATTGAAGACTCAAACCCAAAGCCTTGCCTACCCACCCACCCATCCCCCGGCAGCTGCTGGCCGGGGTTCCTAAGAAGGGCTGGCTGGGAGAAAAAAGGGGGCAGGAGACGAGGCTCACACCTTCCCCACCTCTGCAGTCGCCTGAGCTTCGGTACCTTGAACAGCAGAGGGAAGCAACGCTCAAAGATGGTGGCAGAAGCAGCGAGAGCGAGACCTGTCCTGTCCAGCAGGGGGCAGCAGGAGAGGCTCACCACTGCTCCTGGCAGAGTTTTTCCATCATTATCATCATATCATAGTCATCATCTCAGAACAGCAGAGCTGGTAGGGACCCTGTGGATCCTTGAGTCTAGCCCCCGTTAAGGAGGCCCAGTGGGGGAATCGAACTCCCAACCTCCATCTCTGGAGCCAGAACCCCTAAACCCTCCCCTACAGACACCTGCTCCCCTTTTTCACCCAGATCGTCCTTCCCGACCCCCCCCAGGTTCCCCCACCTTCTCCCAGTAGAGGCGAAGCTGGCTCAGCCACTCAAAGGAGGTCACGTCGATCAGGCCGCTCTTGTAAAGCCGCTCGATGACGTCCCTGGCGTGGACCTCCACCGTCACCAAGGCCACGATTTTCAGGCGCATGATTTTGGTCAGGTTGCCTCGGATGGCCTCCGAGTATTTGTTCAGCATGGACACCTGTTCCCCACCGACACACACACACACACACAGAGAAGAAAGAGGCCTGCTTGTAAAGGAGAAGACAATCCACGGCCACGTTCCTCTGAACGACGACACATCTTTTGGGTTTTCTCCACCTGCCCTTTGGCATTAAATCTGGACCTGGTTAAATCTTGCACACCACCCAGAGGACCCGTTTTGGGGGAAAGGCAGGATAAAAATTCGATGTACAGCGAGCAACAGGGCTGAACCCGATGGCCTTACAGGACACCCCTTTCCAACTCAATGATTCTAGGATTCCATGGTGTAAATAGTAAATAAAATAGATGCTACACCTAACGATACTGGGGACGTGGTGGCGCTGTGGGCTAAACCGCAGAAGCCTGTGCTGCAGGGTCAGAAGACCAAGCAGTCGTAAGATCGAATCCACGCGACGGAGTGAGCGCCCGTTGCTTGTCCCAGCTCCCGCCAACCTAGCGGTTCGAAAGCATGCAAATGCGAGTAGATAAATAGGTACCATCTCGGTGGGAAGGTAAACAGCGTTCCGTGTCTAAGTCGCACTGGCCATGTGACCACGGAAAGATTGTCTTCGGACAAACGCTGGCTCTATGGCTTGAAGAGCGGGATGAGCGCCGCCCCCTAGAGTCGGACACGACTGGACAAAAATTGTCAAGGGGAACCTTTACCTTTACCTTTACACCTAACGATAGCAAAAAATGAAGCTCGGGAATTTCAGGGCGGTCTTTTCTGAAATGCGAGTCGCAGGCCACCTTGAGGTTGGATGGGTGGAAACCAATGGGAGGGGGAAACAGCTCTTAGTTTTCCATAGACTTCTGTAGGACTAATTCTGCACCCGATGGATCTCCCTTGGGTCTAATCCATCCTGGCCCTGCTTCAGTTCCAGTGTTTCCGAGTACCGTGGGGGCTGGGGAGATTCCCACCACCCCTCCCACAGACACCAGAGCCCACAGGATTGGCTCGGAAAACGGGCAGAGAAGAGGCACCATCTCCTGACGGTTCTCGGGATCCTGGACGTGACAGAACCGAAGCATAAAAAAGCAATAGCTCCAGTTTCTGCAATGGGAGGGAGGGGCTTGCGCCAGAAGGATGCCACCGGCACCCTGGAAGAAAGACGGTTCTGCCCGCTCCTCGAGAGGCGATTGGGCTCCCTTGGGGAGCTGCCGGCCCTCACCTGCTTCTTCTTCATGACTTTGAGGTATTTCTTGTCTCCCCGTTCTTTGCAAGTGGCCAGGCACTTGCTCACGTCGGCCGTCCACTGGATCTGGCTGGCCGTGATCACCATCTGGGAAGAAAGGTCATGGGGGTTCAGAACGAGCAAGCCCCTCCTAACCAGCCCTCAGCCGGAGTAGCTCCGCACGGATCCACCGGAAGTCTGACACAAGGCTCTGGAGCTCACCAGACACGATGGATTTGCCCGTTCCTCCGGATCTCTCCCCTCAACGGCCACGAGCGGCTAGAATCTCCACGCACATCGCCCGCAAAGGCATCTTGGCTGGCCTCTCTCAGAGCACAGCTAAGAGTCCCCACCAGGACCTCCCGCCCTCTCTCAGGCCTCGGGGTCCTCACCTGCCCCGGCCACTCTTTCACCCATTTGTCCCTTTTGGTCAGCATCTTCTTCAAGGCCAGCCGGCAGTTCCTCAGCACCTCCCTTAAGGTCCAGCGCATGGCCCGCTCCACGTCGCAGAGCCACTCCTGAAACACAGTCAGCATCGCAGGCGTGAGTGCCTGGAAACCCCTTTGAAAGAGGGACTGAAGAAGATGAAATAAACGCTCAAGGCAGAGGAAAGCTTTCAAGGTTACACAAAGCAACTCCTCACACAGAGAACAGAAACTGTGAGAAGGCTCATGTTGAACCTCTCTGGCCCATGAAGATTTCCTACACAGCCTGGACATGTGGCTTTGGAAGGCCCTAAGCCTTCCTCCTCCTTCCATGGTTAGGTAGGTGAACTAGGCTCCAGATGGCCTCCTCTCCGATCAGTGACTGGAGACAAAAGCAGGAATGTAAAGGCATTTAAGCTTTAAAAACAGAGAGGGAACTGAAGCATGATTAGTAAGCTTGAAGGCTATTGCACTGAAGTTTACATCCATGTAGACTTGTGCAGAGTTGGGTTGTACTTTGCATGCTTGGAGGGAAATGTCCGTTAAGAACTATGTCCGGTCTCATATTTGGCCCCATCTCGTCCGTCTTTGGTCCTGCCTCCTGAACGCCCTGACCCCTTGGGCTCCTCCTGCATCTTAAACTGGACTTTGGCACGCTGACCAAAAACGGTTCGCCACTCCATCATCAAAAGGACCCATCTATGAACCATGTGTGCGCACGGTCTCTTTGCCAGGCAGGACACATGGCGAGCAGCTGAGAGAGCTGGAAGGGCATCAGCAAGGAGGTGGGTGCTCAGAGGGCCAGCTGGGGGGGAGCCCTCACGGCCCGTGAGCCTGCTACTGAGGACCAGGACAGGGGGAAGGGGACACCGACGGACCCAAAGGTGTTACCCTGAACTAGACTTTGGCCGCTCTGCGAAACGGATGACTCCCAAGCAATCCAGAGACAGCATCCGACTCCACTCAAAGGTGGGTTCTTAGCAGGTTCTGGCGCTCCTGGCCCACGCCTTGGCGCTTCTCACACCCTGAGAGAGCCTGAACCATATATGACAGGAGAGCGAAAGGGCTCAGAAATCACCTCCACGGGTCCTTCCAGGAGCACCGAGTGCGTGAAATCCACATATTCCCCATCCAAGGAAAACATGCCCAAGGCTTCGGATCGGCTGGTCATTCCAATCTGGGACAAAAAGAGAGAACAAGGATGGTTCCCCCAACAGGTTTCCCCCCCCCCTCCCAACCACCAGTGGAACAGGAAGCGCTCCTGCCAGCTTTCTCCACCCGGAAAAGGATCCGACGGGAGGAGCGCTTGGGCCACCGACAGACCCACAACTTTGAGCAGAAAGAAATGAAGCCCGGAAGAAGGGGGTCAAGGGAGGAACAGCCTAGGGTGGCAGCAAAAGGCCCTGACCTTTTGCATCTTCAGAGCCTTGATGTTGTCAAAGCACTTCTTGAGGTGGGGCTGGACAGCTTCCGGGTTGCGGGACTGGCCCAAGATCTCCAGCAGGTCGTCGTTGGACAGGAAATAGAAGCGGGGGAAGATGTGGCGTTTGGTCTCCAGGTACATGTCGAGGGACTTCTGGATCTCGTCCAGAGAAGCGTTCATCTCCACCAGCTTATCCAATAACCCTGCCGGGGAGGAAGGGCCACAGCACGGATCACCGGGAGGTGGGGGGGCCCCTCGACAACCAAACCACCTCGCCCGCTACTCATGTGCAAAGCCACCTCCTCTCAAGAGGGAGCTCCTCCCAGCGCGCTCGGCAGTGCAAAAGTTACACGTCAATTAGCAACCAGCACCTCATTTGTTAGGTGAAGAAGGTGTAATGCCGTCACAACTCAGAGGAAACACAATACGAGGAAGAAAGTGACACTCTTAGTGAGGTGAGCAACATTTTCTAGTTACTTTCAAAAGTTGCTTTTTGAAGGCCTTTTAGAAGCTCTTTCTTTGACACGGATTTTTCAAATCTGATGCCCATCCTAAGCGTTCCTCCCATCCAGCAAGAATGTCACAGTAGAAAACACAAACAGTGCAATAAATAATGTAATAAAGTTACTTTTTCAATAGCAATATGTTTACATTTCAAACACTGTAATGAAATAACTGAAATGCATTACTTCAACAGGCTCTGGACTTGCCCAGCAGTGCTGTCCACTCTGGAAGGGCTGTAGCTCTCCAGCGCCTTGGCCAGAGGGGGGCTTTTCCCTGTGTTCTTGAGATCCTCAGTCTCAGGAGATGCTGGGGATTGATCCCAGTGCCTCCCGGGTGCAAAACCAGGCTCTCCTCTTCCTGGAGGAGAAGAGAGATGGGCACAAACCGCCGATCTGTTTTTTGGACGAACAGGCGTTTGGTGGTCTCCTGCCCTGCCTCCCCTGACAGGCGCCCACTCAGAGGCAACAGCTGGAGGAGGCAAGAAAGGAAGCCGGTGCACCGAGGAGGTGCCTGACAGAGGAGGCAGGGCAGGGGACCACCAAGCACCTGTTCGTCCAAAGGATGGACTGGCAGTTTGTGCCCATCTCTCCACTTCTCCACAAAACTAGAGAAAGAGAGAAAGAGAGAGAGAAAGGGAGATCCTCCGACACAGCAGAAGGGCGACCACTGTGGGCACCTGGGTGATGGGTGGCCCTCAGGGCATTGTTGTCCTTGACGAAGCGGTCCATGATGGTCTTCCAGCTGCTGTTGATTTGGTCAAAGGAAGCTGACTCGCTGGGCAGCTGCTTGCGGATATCTTCGCCCAGGAAGATGTTCTGGGAAGAAAAATGGAAAGGAGGAGAGTAAGGCGTGAGAACATGTCCGATTGCAAGGTAAAAAGTTCCTGCACCATTGGTATGACAGCCACCAAGCTCCACACTTCTGCTTCCCCACTGGAACCGCCGGGAAGATTTGATTCTCACCTCCACTCCCCCCAAATTTGATCCTCCAGACTCTTGGATGGCTTCCTGCACCTTCAGTACAAGAGCCACCAAGCCCCACACTTCTGCTTCCCCACTGGAACCGCCGGGAAGATTTGATTCTCACCTCCACTCCCCCCAAATTTGATCCTCCAGACTCTTGGATGGCATTTTCCATGGCAGCCTTTCTCACTTTGGAGAGAGACTGCCATGTTCTCCGGACAGGCAGGATTCTCTGGGCCACATCCACAACGTTCCCTGATTTATCTGTTTCATTTATTTATTTCACTCAGCTTTAGGGAACACCTCATCCGTGCGACGCCCAACGCTGGGTGGTTCACAACCAGCCGCAGAACAAGAAGGAGAACAAAACTGTGTAAAACAACTAAAAAAATAAATAAAACCCTCAGAAAGCAATAGTACGAAGGTGCTTTGCTCTCTGGGAGCAAACCCCGAGGCGCAGCCTCAGGGAGGGTCGTTACGGAAGGCCTCCGCGAAGAGCAGCGTTTGAAGCTGCCTTTTGAAGGTTGGCAGGGCGTGGGACAGGCGTAAGCTCCACCGGGAGCCGGCTCCATAGGGTCGGTGCCACCACGAAGCCAGCTTGGTGCCTCGGCAACATGGAGGAGGATCGCCTGGGAGGATCCGGTGGGCTGGGCAGCTGACATTGAGGAGAGACACTCCGACAAGTTCCCCAAGGGTTTGGGGGTGACGCCTTCCTCTCCCTCGGATCTAAGGTGATCCCAATAAAAACGTTCCTGTTTTCCGTCAAGAACGGCAGATTTGTCCACAGGAGCAAGAAAGAAGGGCTTGACATTTCCTGGGCTGATCTTTCGCTTTCCTCAGAAAGTGATCGAGGGTCATCCCACAGGCACACTAAAAATGTCATCCGTGGATGGGAGGCTCGCTCAGGGGCATGTGTGTTAGCACCAGAAGAAAGATACCTGTTCGTTCCCCAAGGATGGAATTACTCAGCTCCCCACACCATGTGGCTTTTCTCAGCCTCCGTGTTTCTCTGTTTTCCCTCCTCGGGCAGTGATTTCCACCACCCCCAAAAAAGGAAGGAAGCCACTCGCCCCGGACATTCCCCTGAGGGACGCCTCACCTCCATGTACATCCATTGCCTCTGCACCGTCAGGGCCATCTCGATCACCTCCAGGATGAGGGACAGACAACGCTCCCAGCGGTCCACATCCTTCTCAAAGGGCTTCACGAAACGCGAGGCCTTCATGGTGGAGAGAGCCACCTGGTTGTCCTCCAGGGCTTGGAAAACGTCTTCTGTGCCTCTGAAGACAGGGGAGCAGGCGTCAGGAACATCGGATCCAGAAATCACAGTCACACACACACAAACACATTTCTCCCGAAAAGAAAGTCTGAGCCCACAAGGTGCCTTGTGGGCTCAGACAGTCCTTTCGGGAGAAATGGAGCCAGGCTCCCTAAGCGCTGGAGATCCTATCCCAAGATGGCTTGCAGGCATGAAAAACCAGGATGCGTTTTGTCCCTCCTTCCCTTTTTTCCTGCTCCTTTGAAAGCCCCCCCAAGACCAACAGCTGGCAAACCTATCCAGAGTCCACCACGACCGACAGCAGGGGCTTTGTGGAGGCGTTTGTCTCTCCAAATGTTAGCAAACCCAAGCAACAGGTCCGGCATGCCACAGCCAGTGGGCCTCCATCTCCGGCCAACCTGCTGCCTCTGGCTGGCACTTTTGGTGAAGAACAATAACCCAGATGGAATCAGGACTTCTCTAGGGAAGGCTGATGGCTGGGGCAAGGCTCGGAGGGAACCGAACACACAAAACTTGGTGGCAAAGGTCCCCTGATCCAGGTGAAGGGATCCCGGCTGTTCTCCAACCATCCACAAATTCTAGCGGAATTGTCACTTAATGGATTTGTCCGTTTGTTTCACTGAAAGGCCACCTTCGTCCCAATAAGGGGACCCGAGATGGCTCACAATGTTAAAAGAATGACATAAGTTAAATATTAAAGAAACAATCAAACCACAGAGGGCTGAGTCAACCTGCGGCCAGCTCCCTGAATCCATTGGGATCAAACGCAGGTCGTGAGCGGAGTTTTGACTGCGGTGCTGCAGTTTAACCCTGGCGCCGCACGGCTCCCTGGATTGCAAGGATGAAATCGGGCTGCCAACGGAGTTGTAGGGGGGGGGAGGACTCCTGTGGGCAGTGGGTCTCTCCTCCCGGCAGGCCTACCTGATGCGGTGGTGCCCCTTGTCCTTATAGGGTGCAACGTCCAAGGTTGTGGACTCCCAGGTCTTCGCGATGTTTTTGAGAGCCTGCGCGGAGGAGGAGAGCAGAGCGGAAATTGGGGGGGGGTCAGCAGAGCAGGAGGGGTGCTAACGGCTCGCATGGCGAGATTCCGGGCACCTGTGAACGAAAGCCAGGCCGGCTCCATGGGCGCGGGGAGGGAGAGATGACTGGGACCCCCCCTCTGGGTTCCTGGGCGGTGCATTCCCACCCTGGAAGCCTTCAGTCAGCAGCCACCCCCCACCCCCCGAAAGCAGCAGAGCAGCAAAACCCTACCACTTCAATGGCCAGCTCTTTGGTGGCCGAGGCGGAGATCTCACTAATCTTCTCCACATGCTTATCCAGGCCCAGCTCGACGATATTCTCCAGCCGGAAGTCTTCGGCATCTTGATCGAACGTCCGAAGGACCAGATCCTTCACCTGATCCCAGTGCCTGCGGGCCGGCGGAGCGGGTCAGTCAAAGGAGTGGCGCCCGAGCGCCCTCTAGTGCCCTCCCCAGGGCTGCCCACAGCACCTCTTCCTTCATGGGGACCCCCCAGGGGACCCCCTCTCACAGCCCAAGAGCCCACCTTGGCCTCTGCCACACACCCGTCCCTTGGCCGGCAAGGAGAGGAGAGAGGCCATTGGCTGTGAAGGAGAAAAGAGGAGTGCGCCGTCCTCCATGGGCACCCATACAGTAGAAGAGGCTGGATGCGCGGTGGGAGTGCTGATTGATATTGAACAAACGGAAGTAGTGCCAGAAAGGGCCACGGAGGTGTGCTTGGTAGAGGAAGGAGGGGAGGAGCTAGACTTGATAGTGTGGGAAGAGATAAAAGGGGAGGAAAACGCGCGGGCATTTAGAATTTGTACTGACGCGAATATAGAACGGAGCAAGAGCCGAGGGGTTCAGACGGAGCCCATGCTTGGATTCGAGACTCCCGTGGGTGTAGCAGCCGGCTTCCCTAATCTGGCAACCGGAGGAGGTCTGTTGCCGGACCCGAACCTTCCTAGAGGGCCTGAGAAGCTGTACGAGCCCCTAGAATGGCTGGTAACGGTCCACCATCGCAATTATCCTGGTGGGAGGAGGGTAATACGCCCTGGACCAGAGTATCAGAAGAAGCCCCTGGAAGGGGACTGGGCGAGGCACCCTTGTTGCGGAACGGTTTGTGCCGTTCGGAGTGCCCCCCTCCGCCAGATGACCGATCGAGAGAAGTTCGGGCCGGCCCCCTATTAGGTGTTCCGGGCAAACCCTCTGATGTGCGCGCGAAGAGGGATCATTTGTTAGACGACTGTTTATTACTGGATCCGTTTGATCCCAAGGAATTGAGTTTTGTGAACAATAAACTTTCCAATGTTGGATTGTATGATGAGCCTCCGACTCTTTTTCCCGCCTATAACACCAGTGCCCCCCCGGCCAGAGAAGAACTTCCTTACACTGGCCCAGCCCCGGGGGCTCCTGTCGCCGGCACAGCCTTCCAAGGCAACGCGGAGGGCAGGACCGCAAAATGCCCTCCACCGTCAGCCTCCCTAGGGGTTTCCCCCCCCTTCCCATCGCACCTCAGTAAACCTCCTCCTCTGCCAGGCAGGGGAGCCCCTGACCCTTCTCTCCCGCAGCCTTGGCCCCCGCCCCCGGGAGGCTTCCCCGCTCAAGCATTTCTCTCTCCACAAAAAGAGAGAGAGAGGCGGGAGGGAACTCAAGGGGCCTACCTCTCCCGCAAGGCCGGGTTCCTGAGGTCAGTAATCAAGGGCATTGTCCTCTTAAATTGCTCAATTTTCGATTTGGAAGTCTCAATTATTTCCCAGTTCCGATCCTTGGGTTAGAAAACAGAAAGCGAAAAAGGTTGAAGCGGTGAGAAGCAACGAGGCCCTCTCACCTTCGGGCCAGTTGCCGGATAACTGCTCCCCGCAAGGCTCACCGGAGCCTTCCTCGCCAAAGCGCCTGCACCTGCTTCCCTTTCCAAGGTGGGCACAGAGGCAGACGGCCAGATTTCTGGGGGGGAGGGGGTTTCCTTCATTTCGACAGGAAGCTCAGAAAGAAGGAAAGCTTTCCTCCCTTTTCTCATCCTCCCTTTTCATCCTCCCTCCTGATGTGGGGTTTGCTCTCTGATTAATATCCCATTCCAGCCCCCCCTCCCCGGAGACACCCTGCCCGGGGACCCTTCCGTCCCATTCCACCCGTCCCGCTGACCTTCAGCTCCTTGCTCAGCTTATTCAGCTTCCGGAAAAGGCCAAAGGCCGTGTTCTCCATCACTTCGGTCTTCAGCGTCTTAAAGCTTCCCGTCTTCCACTCGTTCCAGTGGTCCTCCCATTCCTTCGTGATCTCCCACACCTGCTGGATGTAGTCCAGCTCCTGCAAGACAAGTTGGGGACAAGATCACCCTCCGGTCCCGCACTGGGAGTTGGTTTATTTCCTCCAAAATATCTAAACCTTTATCGCCCACTCTCCATCACAGGATCTCCGGGCAGGGAACACAGTGGCGTAAAAACGTTAAGACAATTCGAACTGTTTAAAATCAAAGAGCACAACACTGAAACATCTAAAGATGAAATACTTGAAAGCCATTGCACTAAAGCCTATGCCGGCTAGGATCCTCAGCCATCCCTGGTTCTAATAAATAAGTCCGTCTTGACTTGGCAAAGGAAGGATGGCCAACATCAGTGCCAATCAAATCTTCAAGAGGAGGGCATTCCGCCGTTGAGGTTCTTGGGCAGAAAAAAAAACCCTCCCCTGCTTTTGGAAGATGACCTCACCGGCAGATCTTAGTGACTGGGCAGGTTTGTAAGGCTTCATATATGTCTTCGTCAACACCCGGAGTGCAGGCTGGAAGCATCTTGGTAGCCAGTGCGAACTGGCGTCATGTAGGTTCTGAAGGAGGCTACCCCCCCAAGCAATCTAGCTGCTGCACATTGTACTGGCTGCAGCATCCACACCCTCGTCAAGGGTGGCCCCATGTAAAGTGCATTGTAGTACTCTAGCTGGGAGGTTACCAGGGCATGGAGTACTACCGCCAGATGATCCCTGTCCAGGAATTGTTGTAGCTGGTGGACTAAACACTCTGAGCCACTTCGCTCACATGGGCTTTCAAGGAAACAGATAAAACTAGGATTGGGTCCAAATACAGTAGAACCTCTGTTTCCACAGGATCAGTATCCACAGTTTCACTTATCTGCAGACTGAAAATATTAAAAATAGGAAAAGGAAAAAACTAGAAATATATATTTTCATGATGTATTTACCAGAAGTGGGCACTAGAGGGAACCAGAGGCCATGCTATGTATTCTTGATGTGGTCTACGGCTCCCTCTAATGGCAAGGTCTGGTAATACATGGTGAAAATACATATGTCTGGATTGTTTTCTTGTATCATGCTATGTACAATGTTCACAATTATCCGCAGCTTTCAGCATCCACAGGGGGCTTGGGACCAACCTCATGTGGGTATGGGTGTCCTGCTGCAACCAGTTGCCTCCAAGAGCATCTGAAAGCTGCCCAGCCATCACATACTCAAGAATCTTTTCCGAGCTCTGTTTTCCCCATGTAAGAAAAGAGCCCAGTTCGCTTTCTCCCTGCGTTTCTGTTGTAGCAATTGGCAGATGCTGACCACAGGGCTCAGAGCGAACTGGCTTGTCTTTGTGCAAGAACGAGAGGGGAAGTCCTTCAACCTTACCCTCTCCAGCTTTTGAAGGTCTTTGGATGCCGGCTGGTCGATCTTGAAGATGCCCAGGTTGGAGCGAAGGGTATTCTCCTCTTCCTTCAGCCGGGTCAAAAGCTGTCTCATGGCGGCGATCTGATCCAGAGCGGCCTCAGCAGATATGGCGCTTGTGAAGGGACCTATGGACAAACATACACACAACACACACACATGTGAATACACATAAGCTTTTTGGGTCCTCGCCCGCTGTGGCTACCTTTGTCCTCAAGATGGCAGCTACCAGCACTTACAATAAGCGGCAGCTAAAAGATCAGGTGGGAGATGGGCCGGAGGCAGTGGCCGCTTCACGCACGAGTGTGTGAGCGAGGAAACCACGTTCCTCTTGTGCAGTGACATAGGATTAAGCCCCATTGAGCTCTATAAGGCTGACTCAGAAGGAAAGATACAGAACATCGCACGGTAGACGCTCCCTTGGTAGCCCCTCAGGCAAGAGAAACCGGAGGGACGTGGACCAGCCCAACCCACGACCGAAGGTCCCCCCCCCCAGTTCATTTTAACATTTCAAGTTTAAAATTGTGGTGAAGCCACAGAAGCGGATTCCTACCTATAGCCCAGGTGGCTTTCTTTACAGACTTCTTCATGCACTTTACAGCAAAGAAGAAGCCATGGGTCATTTACAAGAAGGAAGTGGCGGTATGGCCTGCCCATGGGGTGACAGGGGGGCACTTCCGCCCCACAAAGCAGAAAAGCCCGCTCACCGTTGGAGCCAAAGTCCTGTAGAAGATTCTGGGCCTTTTTCTTGAAGTCGTCTGCAGAGTGGATGAGGCCGGTCTTGAATTTCTCCTTGTGCTTCTTCAGCATGACTTCGCTGTCCAGGAGGCACTGCTGGAAGGACAGCCACTCCGAGTTGAGGTCTCCCAACAGCTGCAGCACCTGGAAAGGAGAAAGAGAGGGAGAGAGGGCACTAGGAGAGAGAGAGAGACCAGCGAAGGATCGTGGCCTCCAGCAACGAACAAGGGAGAGAGAGAGGGCACTAGGAGAGAGAGAGAGAGAGAGTGAGCCCAGGGAAGGATCGTGGCCTCCAGCAACGAACAAGACCACACGATGAGTGTGTCCCTAGAAGCAGAGGTTCAGCAAGCTCAGAGAAGAAGAGCAACGAAGGATGATCATAGGGCAGGAAAACCAAGCCTGTTTAGCCTGGAGAAACGAAGACGGGAAGGGAGGACAGCACTTCTCAAACACTTGCAAGGCAGCCCTACAGAGGAGAAAGGGCAGGATCTGTTCTCCATCATCCCAGAGTGCAAGGAACGTAATCATGGGATCAAGCGACAGGAAGCTGGGTGTAAGCTGAATATCGGCGAAAACTTCCTAACCGTTCGAGCAGTACGACAACGGAACCCATGACCTCAGGGGGAGGTGGCGACCCCTCCAACGCTGGAGAGGCCTTCAAGAGAAGACTGGACCGCCGTCTAGCTGATCTCCTTTGATCTGGATTCTTGCACTGTGCAGGGGGGGGGCGTTGGACTCGATGGCCAGAATTCTTGGCCCCTTCCGACTCCCTTATTCTATGATTCTGTAAGATCAAGATCCCCCAGGGGATAACAGACTACCTGTTGATCCCAGCATGACCATCACAGGCTGCAAATGAACTTGCTCTTGTTTCGTGACTGATCTTGGGAAGACAGATAAGGGCCCAAGCGCGGACTCCTAAAGAAGCCACGCGCCTGGAGAGAAACGGTTATAACGGCAAGAACTACACAAGAAGGTATATCTCCTCATCTTATTCTTGCACGAGGGAAAGAACAGTTATGTACATTTTTCTCCTCATGGGCCAGGATTCCAAAATTTTGTAGGCATTTTGCACATTTCAGAGCCTTTTTGTGGAAATGTCAAGGATTTTGTAAAAGACAAGAACCTAGAGTTTTTGCACACAACGCGAGCATATTTAGAAGAGAAAGCGAGTTAGTCTGTGCAGCCGCTCCGGCTGAAAACACCGTGGGGCCTTTTTGCATCTCTCTGGAGGGCTTTTCAGGTACGGAGTCCTTTTCTGCGGGGACTGGAAATCCTTGTAAAGGTTCATCACACCCTTAACTATCCATTTCTCTCTACGGATAGTGATTTAACCCTTCGAGCCAGGAAGCCGAGAAAGGAAAACCGCAGGGAGAAAGCCGAGCTTGGAGAATTGACCTTGTTAGTGATCATGCCCGGAATCCCATTAGCCACGCTTGCTGGCAAAGCTGGCTCGGGCACCCTGGGAATGACAGACCTCACAAGGGGACATTTCCTGGGAGGAGAGGATGAGCGATCATGTCGGGAACTCAAAAGCATCTTGTCCAATGAGTGGATGTGGAGCCAGTGAGTCCTTTTCCCCCCTCCGCCTGCCCGGATTCGGTGCAAGCCCCAGGGGATCCATCCCATTTGTGCTCACCACTTGCCCTCCGAGAGGGACATAACCTAATACCGAGACCGTCTACCTAAGCAGGAGAGGAAGGGAATCCACCGGGAATTACTTTAGAGGGGGGAAGAAAGCAGGAGGAGACAGAAAGGTTGCTTCTCAGCGGGAGGGGGGGAGCGTGCCGTCTGCGGCACCGTCAGCCCTCGCCAAGGGCGTACCTCTTCGTCCACAGCCACCTCGTACTTCTCCAGGATGGCAAACTGCTCGTGGATGGGGGGAATCTGCCCCTCCGTCTTCGGCAGGTCGTTCTGGAGGGTCTCGTGGAGCGCCAGGCTTCGGCTCAGCTCCTCCAGCGTCTGAGGAGGGCGGCTGACGCTGTGGGGAGAGAGGAGGTGGGTTTTTTTCGAGGTGTGCGCTGAGGGTGGGGGGAGAAGAGGGGGCAAAGGGGCAGGAAGCCAAACTGCTCGTGGATGGGGGGAATCTGCCCCTCCGTCTTCGGCAGGTCGTTCTGGAGGGTCTCGTGGAGCGCCAGGCTTCGGCTCAGCTCCTCCAGCGTCTGAGGAGGGCGGCTGACGCTGTGGGGAGAGAGGAGGTGGGTTTTTTTCGAGGTGTGCGCTGAGGGTGGGGGGAGAAGAGGGGGCAAAGGGGCAGGAAGCTTTCCNCCAGAGCTCCCGCAGGCGGCCGCTGGCCATCTCGTTCAGCAGATTGGTGAGCTTGTGTTGCCACTCGCTGCAGTGCTGGACGACGGCCGCCTTCAGGTGGGAGCAGTCCAGGAGCACAAACTGGATGCTGAGCACCGTCTCCTCCTTCTGGACATTGTTGGCCACCTCCATGTACCTGGCGCACAAGTAGAAGAGCAAAAGAAAAAGGGGTCCAAAGGGGTGGCCGGAAAGGTGATTTCATGGGCTCTCACAAGACAGGCCGGCGTGAGACACTCGGGAGGTCCTCCTCGGCCTGTGCGCACCCCCTTTTCCCCTTTTCCGACCCTCTTAGTAACACAGCCAAACGACAGCCCCAATCCTTTGACAGCTTCGCGGTCACCAAACCTCTACAAGCAATGGCCAGAAAGCTTCAGCTCCCGGGCCTCCTTCCTTGCTTCGAGCCAGAAGCTGCCCTCCAAAACGGGGGTCAGCCATGGTTAATCATCACAAAACATGGCTTTTTGCCTCCACAAAGACCCTCAGCCTGGCAAAAGGGGAACCCAGAATCCTCGGAAGGACACGTTTCCAGGGGAGGGGGGTGCCGACACACCTCTGCGCCGCCTCGCTCCACCCCACCAAAGCCTACGCTCCTCTGCCGGGCTTCTGAAGGAAGCCGCTGTTGTTAGCCGCTCAGAGTGGTATAAAGGTGCCGACACACCTCTGCGCCGCCTCGCTCCACCCCACCAAAGCCTCTGCTCCTCTGCCGGGCTTCTGAAGGAAGAACCACCGCAGTGGTTCTGACGGGTTGTTCAGTTGCTTCTGACCTACAGAGACCCTATGACTGAGCGGCTTACGGATTCACGACCAGAGAACTGCCGCGAAGCCAGGCCGTGAGACAAAGATAATTTGAATTTTTAGTGACCGGCAGGAGCTTCATGAGTCTGCCTGGGTGTTAAGATCCTCAGAGGAGGCCTTTCTCTCGGTTCCACCACCTTCACAGGTGCGTCTGGTGGGGACACAGGAGAGAGGGGCCTTCTCTGTGGCTGCTCTTTTAGACTCTGGAACTCCCTCCCACTGGAGGCCAGCCTGGCCCCGTCTTGACTGTCCTTCCGCCAGCAGGCCAAATTCCTTTCTCTTCAGGCAGGCTTTCCCCAAGTGACCGGCTGCTTGAGTGGGATATTTAAAAAGGGATTTATTTTGTGTTTTACTGGTGGTTTTAATCTTGCTTTCATTAGGAGTTTTAATATAATGTTGCCTCAATGCTTTTTAAACATTGCAAAGATTTCTTATTTATTTATTTCAATATGATAAGCCGCCTTGGCTCCTCTAGGAGAAAGGTGGCGTGGAAACATTTTAAACCAACAAAAAGGAATAAATAAGCCGAAGGAAGAGCCTTGTTGAAGGAGGCAAACAGCCGGCAGCCTCGGTCCCTCAGGAGACCAACTTTCTGTCCCTCAAGACCATCACAGGACATGTCAAGGCTCCCCAAACTTTCCTGGGCCTTGCTTTAAGGTATATAATTCACTGCTCCGGGGGTGGAGGGTTCTAGGAGCAGAAATTGACCTCCCACCCTATAGGGTCAGGCGTCCAAAATAAAAAATCTGGTATCAGGCCAGAAAGATGCTGGGATTTGCCCACCTTGTGGAGAGTGGCCTTCCGAGACAGCCTTCAACCCACCTAAAGCAGAGTCCTGACACTGGATTAGACCCTCAAAGGGGGTAAATAATGCTGCTGCCCAGGGGGGCCACCCAGATCTCTCCATGAAGCCCACACAGAGCCTGAGGGCTGGCGCCAGTGGCCTCCCTGGGCTCGTCCTCCTATGGTAAGCAGAACCCCACAGTAGGCCTCCTTCAGTCTTGAGATGCGAGGGTCACGTGCTCTGTATGGAGGACTCGGAACAGCGTCTAGTGTGGCCAAAGAGACCATTTCAAGAGTGACACAATCTCTTCCACACTGAAGACAAATACAATCTGTCCCCTATCCATCTCCCTGATTTTGCTGCTTTCGGGACTGCCTCGGCCTGCTGGACAAGGGTCTCTTCAAATTGGGAGAGGCCACGATGCAGCGCCTGCCTCCAGGCTGAATGCTCAGAGGTCAGGGTTTCCCATCTCTTGAGGTCCATTCCTAAGGCCTTCAGATCCCGCTTGCAGATCTCCTTGTATCGCAGCTGGGGTCTCCCTCTGGGGTGATTTCCCTGCACTCATTCTCCATCCAGGAGATCTTTCAGAATCCGACCATCCACCGTTCTCAAAACATGCCCGAGCCAATGTAGACAGTGGGGTTTTCTAACCAAAAGTGCAAATTCCATCAACACTTCCATCAGCCATTCTCTCTTAGCCCAAAACCGTGGGGTTCTGGTTCCCATGGGAGGTACGGTCTTCGTCCAAAAACTGTAACTCCTACAGCCCCTGATGCTGACTGCAAATTTGGGGAGACGTAGCCCCAAAAGGTCGCTTTCCAAACTCTGCTTCCTCTGAACCTCTCTCTCTCACACACACACGCACACACACAGAGCCAGGAAAGGTCTCGATGACCTCCTGCTGAAGTTTGCTAAACTCCGGCTCAGCCGACGCTCCGGTGTTTCCACCATAATGAATCTAACACACCTGAGTGCAACCTACATAGATCAGTCAAATTCTCCAAGGAATCCCATCCATTTAATCCTCGATCCCAACTTTCCGAGATTCTAAATAAGGTTGCACTTGACCTAGTTTTTAAACCCTGAGTCCTCGGCTGCGGTGTTGGTGAGGAAATCCTAGGGCCGTAACAACTGTGCCGGGAGGGCAGGGCAGAAAGGTGGATATAGATTTTTTTTGGTGTGTTTTGCCCATCTGTGTGTGCGAAAGGGGATGTGTCGGTGGGTGCATGTCCGTGCGTCTGCTTTTAAACGCAAAAAAAGAAAGCTGCTTATTTATTTATTTATTTATTTATTTTATTTATTTATTGGATTTATATACCGCCCCATAGCGCTACAAGCACTCTCTCCTTGTATTTCTCATGCACGGGGAGATGATTCACCTACGACGAAAGGATGATACAGGTAGACGGTCTGCCCTCAAACCATGCACAAGGAGAAGAGTTTGAGAGGACATGCAAATCCCCGCTAAGCGATGCGCTAATTGAAACGTAGCTTTATTTTTTTTCTCTCCCCGACTCACTGAAGCAAAGGAGGCCAGCGGGTGGAGGGCTGTTCCAGCCCCAAGGGACCTTATTAAATTTTACTGTTCCGTTAATTAATTCCCCGTCAGTGGGGTCACGGGAAAGACAAAACCGAGTTTCTTTCCCTCTCCCAAAAAGCACAGCCCCAGCAGAGACCAACGGGGACGATGGCGGCAGCATTTGGGCGCAGGCAGAGACTGTTTAAGGCTGCGTGGCATCCTAAGAAGCCCGATTTGCCCTCCAATGCCAGACCCTGTACATTAGGTGTGTTGGGAACGCTGAATCAGCAAAGGCAGGGAGGCCGGCTGGAATGATGCTCGGGGAAAATGCAGGGTTTAAGGTCACTCTGCAACCCCTTCTCCTCCCTCCAGTCCCTGCTCTTGATGGGTTCGCTTATGGGGGGGGGACGAGGGACGAAACATGGTGGGAAAGCCCTTTGCAACCCGAACGTGTGGCCTGTTCGACTAGCCTCCTGTTATAAGGTCTGTTTTTTGCTGCTCCCCCCCCCCAGTTCTTGCTTTGAGTCTAGGAATTTAACGGTGCGCGCCACCGGCTTGCACTTGAAGGCGGGAGGAATCAGAAGCTTGTAAAACATGCTGTAAACGGGGAAAGATCAAAAGGCAAGCAGCAGCTGCTGAACAGGCCCTTGCCAGAGCCGCGCCGGCCCCCGGGATAGTCTTGACCTGACGGTGACACCCGGGCTTGGGAGGCCGTGGCTTTTATCCTCCACTTCCTTGCTTCTCGAGGGCCACAGACTTCGAAGCACCCAGCAGAGGCTGGCGTCCACCCACCGGAGTGACACGTGGGAGGCAAAGGGGGGTGGCGGGAGACTCTTTCCTGCTCTCCCTCTCGCGCTCCCCCCTTTCTCTCTCTTGAGCACTCAACATATGCTTGTTCAAATAAATTATTAAAAGCTTAAGGGATCAGGGAAGGAATCCTTCCGTCAATCCCTCGGCCCTCGTAGACCAGAAGCGCTCGTGGCCAAGGAGGCCTTCGCCTCGGTGGCTGGCGAGGGAAAGGCGTGGACGGGAAGAAGCACCCACCCGGCCGGCTTGTCGGACCAAACCGTCCCAGGATCCAGGGGGACCCGAGGCGATCAGCCGGTCCGATGGACGAAGGGCGGGAAGCCACGGACGGGAAAAGGACCGAAAGATGAAAACCACCAGCCTCTTCTTCCAGATCCTTCAGGGTGGAGACGTGGCAGGCCCCAGAACGGCTTCCCACGGCCAAGATCCAAACGCTATATAGGGCAACTCCTGAGTCCTGCTCTCCCACAGTCCGGCCCCGATCCACAGACGAGGCTCTCGCCAACCAGCAGGCATGGGTACCCAGCGGTGGCTTCAGCTGAGATACACCGCCCGTCCTTCCTCCTGTCCCACTTCCTTGCTTTCGTGCCTCGGCCACCTCCTGCGCAGACCACGGCAATGCCCCCCCCTTTGGTCGCCCTTGATTTCACGCCAGTCCTCTCCTCTCCATCTCCTGTGGTGCCGTAACTGATCATTACACGAATCTTTAAAATGTTACGCCAAAGAGTTATTTCAAACACTACGGCGCTGCCTGGCCAAAATGCTTCTTTTAACATTACTTTTAACGTCGGCGAGCGGGCAAATTCTTCTCCCTTCGGGCAAGCTTTTCCTCAATGACGGGTGTTTTTTAAACGGAGGGTTGCGCTCTGTGGTTTTAAAAGTCCTTCGCCATTGGTTTTATTTACCGTTTTTAATAGAATGCATGTCCAATTCTTTTTTTAAAAAAAATCTTCGAATACTTCCCGCTTTCCGCTTGCAAATATTGTCTTTTTAATGATTCACGCTACCTTGGGTCCTTTTTAAGGAGAAAGAAAGGCGGGATAAAAATATTTTAAATAAATAATTAAAAAAAGACTCTGGTGTGGAGAATTAGGAGGCACCACCTCCTTCTTCTCTATAAGGGCACCATACACCAGCTGGGCTGGCCCCCTTGCCCCCCAGGACGGGTATGCCCACCAAGCACCGCAGAAGCGGGACCAGGGCCTCGCCGGGCACCCAACGCCCTGCGCTGTACCTCTTCCACCCAGGCCGGTCCTGCCGGGCAGCATCGCCAGGGTGATGGGAGGGGGACGACACGGCTTTCCGAGCCTATTTGCTTAGTCTACGGCAGCAGCTGGATCTTGTTTACAAAGCTCTTAATGTGACGTCTCCAGGGGAGAGCTGTACAAACATCCGTCTTGCACTCGGGCTCTGAGTTTTCCTCTCCCCGGTTCGGGTTTTTACAATCGCTTTTGACATTTGCATGGAAACAGGTTTTCTTCTTCCCGCTGCTCTTTCTCCCAGACCCATCGCTCAAAAGGCACCGCGTTCCAGCCTCCTCCAGGGAATGGGCCGGGCAGCTGCGGAGCAGGGCCCAGCAGTGTGCCAGGAGGGTTTGCAGCACGAAGGGAAAGCAAAATGCCCTCGCCGGCAGGAACCATGGGGAGGGGAGAAGTTCTTGGCCCTCCACCCACCCACCCGATTCTCCCAGAAAGCTTTGCTTCAGGTAGGACACAGAAAGAACACGCTCTAGAATCTGCAATGGTGGAGAAGGGACCGCATGCACCAAGCCCCGAAGGAGCCGACTCGACAGCACCCGGGTCACACCGGCCGGGAACCTCCCTTGGGGCAACATCACAAACCGACGGTGCCAACGGCACCAACGTCCATGCCGTGGATTGGAACCAGCTGATGTGACCACGCAACTTGACTGTACATCCTCTGCACAGGTCAAGATGCAAGATGCGTTCTGCCAGAGACAACCGTTGAGGATTAAAGATGAAGACATCAGCCGGGAACTTTAGCTTCCAAAGCATGCCGTTCTTTGGAAGCTGTCCCCGCCTTGGCCTGCATGGCAGTTTTCAGCAGCCAAGGACCGGCTCCCCTTAGCTCTCGAGCCCGGCCAGGGAAGATCCTTTTTCCTCCTCTCCCCACCTTCTGCTTCCTCCCTTGAGATCTCTCCTATAAGCAAAGAACGGCTGCTTCTAGGCTAGAGAGAAATCACTGGTTTCCTTAAAATCAAATTCATTTCAATCACCATTCAGATCTTAAGAACTGGTGTTTTTTTTCATTTAGAGGGTCAAAAAATAATAATAAATCCATTTTTCAAAAAATGACATCACGACTGAGATCCATTGGATCTAAATTCAATCCACCTTGATGATTCTCGGGTTTAACCTTTCTGCCACCGAGGACCACCTCAAGGGCGAGTCGCACGCTCTCCTCAGGGCAGGACGTGGGCAAAAGAGAATTTGGGTCCCTCAAAATCCAAGAGAAGGGACCTGAGAGTCCACCAAATTGGCGGTTTCGGGGACTTGGAGAAATCAAAGGGGTTCCTGCTACCCCACCCTACATGCCAAGATGCCACCGCTCAATCAGGGAGTAGCTCTGAGTATCTAGCTGATCACCAAAGACAGACAAACAAACAAACCAGAAAAGATCCGTTCCATCAAAACAGTTTGGCCTACTCAGTTCAGCATCTCGCGTCTCGGTTAATGACCAACGGAAGGCCAACCAACCAACGGGAAGCCCGCAAGGGGGGGGTCAGCCACATTTACCCTTGTGACCGCTCTTACCGGGCAGTGTCGGCATCAAAGGATGAGACCAGAGGGTTCAGGTGGCGGTAGCGGTTGATGAAAGCGTCCTTGTTGACCTCCCAGATCTCTCGATACACATCCCAGGTCTTCAGGTACGCCTGGAGGTGGGTGGCGTTGGCCTGCATGCCGCTGCTGATCTGCGCCTGGATTTTCTTTATATCTTCATCCCGTTCTGCAAAAGGACCGGGAAACATGATGGCCTGAAGCTATCCTTGGTTGCCTAGTAGCCAGCGACAGGAGGGCAACTCCTTCACTCCCTGCCACCCATGCTGGATCAGGGCCTTAGGAAACTCTAGTCCAAAACAGTACAGTAGTACCTCGGTTTACGAACGTCTCGGTTAATGTAATTTTCGGTTTTATGAACAGAAATCTATTGAAAATAATACCTCGGTTTATGGTTTTTTTTCTGGGGTTTTTCGGTTTATGGAGAAAGTTTCTCCAGGATGCATCGTATCTGCAAGTTTATAGCATTTGTACAGCCATCTGCGTTCCCGTTTATGAATTTTTCGCTTTATGTAACGTCTCGGAAAACAAATTCATTTCGGAAGCCGAGGTACTACTGTTATGTTTTCAAGCTCCTGGCAAGCCCATGGCCTCAAGCAAGTTTTCAGACAGCCAAGAACCTCGCAGAAATGTTTCACACACATAGAACGGCAGAAGGCAATTGTCCTTTAACTCAGTTCCTCCAGAGATGCCCGGAGCAGCCTACGTGGCATGGCTCGCCTTCTACTGAAGACATGTAACTGCCCACTACAGTCAGCCTCTAAAAGGGACTGAAAGGTCCCCAATGTAAGGGGCATTTTAAAAAAGAGAGTGCGCTGAGATCAATCTACAAAACTGCAAGCAAATTTCTAGGTTAAAGGACCATTAAAGCTAAAATCACTATAAATCAGAAGACGACGGAGACTCGGGAGAGCATCAACAAAGGGATCAGAAGAGACCATCGATGGGTCCCTCCCTGTGGGAGGCGTTACGTGCTTGGACCTTCCAAAATCTTTCTGACAACGTCCCTCATCAAAGGTTCTTTTATGGACATGGGAAAAAAGCCCTATGCGGCTTATTCACTGGTTAAACAACAGGAAGCAGAGAGATTTTAGACCAACGAGCAGCTCCATAAAGATGGGAAGTAAGACGGGGAGGATCTTTGCAACGTGTCCAGCGGGCTGGCCCTGATCCATCTGTCCATAAATGCTCTGGAGTTAGCGACATGGCCACCTTTGTCGTGACACCGAATTATTTAGGAAAACAAAGAGCCCAGCATGCTAAAGCAGACAATTATGGGCCAAACTTCTCAACTACGAACGTCTACGGGTGGGGTGGGGATTTGGACTGACCATGACCCTCCTGTGGACAGATCTTCCACTCGACGGCAGCTGTGAAAAAAGAGGCGATTTCCAAAACCGCAGTCAACAGAGAAAGGGATGGAAAACGGACCGCTCGCGTGGAAATGCCTTTGCACTCAATGGGCTACAGAAGGTGTGTGTGTCATGGGTACAGTTCTGCTCAATCCCACATTGTATAACCAGCGCAGGAAGCAGAATAAGGGGGCAACCGAAAAAGATAATGCATGATATAGAGAAACTGGATAAAGACAAACCACCCACACCTTCCTGATCCTGGTACAGTAGTGGAAAAAAATCAAAACAGGTCACTATCAAATTCAGGACAAACAAAGTTGGGTGTTTCTTCCCATGTGTGGTTTGCATTTATATGTTTGTTGCCTTTATTTCTAAAGATGCTATGGAAGGAATCTAGTTTGGATCTGAACGTCATAGCAAAGGTGGATGAGGATGATGCCCTTTCCCTCTTCAGATGGGCCCGCCCCACCTTCCCCAAAGAAGGGCATCTACCATTTGCAGCCATGAATCAGGACGGTCGTTCAACAAAGCGCGGGGAGTTTTTCCATGTGATTCTCCCCCTCTTGCGTCAGTCGCCAAAGCTGCTCTCTTCTCGGCCCTCCGATCCCAGCCCTCTGAAAGCCCCCCCAAGCGGAAATTAAGCCTACGGTTCTTCACTTCGAAAGGGAACGAGGAAGCGCAAGCCAAATTTCCTTCCCTGTTTCACGCATACGGAGGCAGGCACTACACCTCAGCCTGAAACGACCGGGAGATGCTCCCCATTAATCAATCCTCATTTCTCACGATTCCCCGCAGAGCTTCCAGGAGCTACGAAGCCAGTGCCCGTGAATCACGCGGATGGCACAAACACACCTCGCGCACTAGCATCCGTGAAGCCAAAGGGGAGGGAATGCAGCAGCGGGGGGGGGGGAACGCAAGGAGACAAAAACCAGGAGACCGCCGGATGTTTGTGCCTGCCGTTCCTCCGTGTCTGGAGTTCAGAGCAGGCCTCTCTCCTTCACGGTGAGAAGAGGTCCTTCACAACTCCGGCACCATCACCGGTTCTCACCTGGCTCTCCTAGAGTGGCCAGCGATGGGACAGGAGACCTGCTGAAGAGGGCGATCAGGACTCCCCAGGATAGCAGAAGAGGCAACCTGGCTCAGCTGCCGTTCTCACCCGAAACCTTTAGTCAGCTAGCGCTGGCCCCGTTTCTCACCCTGAAAGGCACTCCATAAATTATCGCTCCATTTAATGGCGTTGGGAAGGCTTGCCAGCACGCCCTGTTCCCTTCGGTCTCACACCTTCCCCCCCCCACCAGTCACTCCTCACCAGCTGGCAGCTGCTCCCCCCTTCTTGCCCAGAGCTCAAGAGGTTAGGAGGGTTTGCTGGGAGTGGCCAAAGGCCAGGGCACAGCCGCCCACCGACCCGGCCACCGCAGACCGGCCACCTCTTGGGCAACGAGGTTCTACCAGCTTTTCAAAAGGGGCAAAACTGTAGCTGGCTGCGTGAGGGACACACACACACACCGCTCTGTCACCACCACCACCACCCTGGCATGATCCAGATTGACCAGGCACACTGTGGATTTGGGGCCTGGTGCGGGGACCCAGGTGGACGGCCACTGACCGCTACCTCTGTTCACAGAAGGGGAGCTCGGGGTGCGCAGGTTGCCACCGCTGGCGCCCACCACAGCTCCACAGACGGAAAAAGGAGAGTAAAAATGCAACAGAGAGACTAAAGCTCAAAAGCAGGCCATTAAGACAGGGGTCAGGGACATGGTGGTGCTGCGGGTTAAACCACAGAAGCCTCTGTGCTCCAAGGTTGGAAGACCAACCACGACCGTTGCTTGTCCCGGCTCCTGCCAACCTAGCCATTCGAAAGCATGTAAAAATACAAGTCAATAAATAGGTACCACCTCGGTGGGAAGGTCACGACATTCCGTGTCTAGTCGCGCCGGCCACGTGACCACGGAAATTGTCTTCGGACAAGCGCTGGCTCTATGGCTTGGAAACGGGGATGAGCACCGCCCCCGAGAGTCAAACACGACTGGACAAAAATTGTCAAGGGGAACCTTTACCTTTACCTAAGACAGAGGTGGGCAGCTCCCAGAGGTAATAGGGCTCCATGGGCCCATCCTTGGACGGCTCTATCCACTCCCAGGATTTCCACCCCAGGATTTTTTTTTCCTTACAAAAATGGGTGTGTTTGGTTTTAATGGACTCCTTCTGTCCTCAACTGGCAAAATATTAATTTTAAAAAATCTTTTTCTTAGTGCAGTACACAAGGAAGCCCAAGGGGTGGCTGGATGCCTCAAAAACATGTCAAAAGTGCCCCCACGCTCTGTAGTATAGAGGGCACAAAGAGGGGCTTCTGATTTGAAAGAACCTGGGCTGGTGGAGGTGCTCGCAGGTCCCCAGGGTGCTGTATTTTGGCCCTCGGGGGGGGGCTGCACAGGGCCCCAGGCTGCATGCAACTCACTCTTGAATTACAGGGAGACCTTGCAGTCTGGTCTCCTTTCCCTGCGTGACCCGCTAAAGAGCCTTCGGTGTGCTTTCCATCACATAGCCCAACCAAATCGGCCAGATGCCTCTTCTGAGGCCACTTCAAGTCCACCAAGAGGCTCTGATCCTCCCAAGTTCTCACAACGAGCATTACGATGAAGATTACCCATATTTCTATCCCACCGCTCCTCCCCTTCTACTCTTGCCCTGGCTTCTCAGCGAGCCGGGGGGGGGGTGAGATCAGGCTGAGGAAAACGGGAGGGCCCCAAGGTCAGCGTCACGGCTCGGTGGAGCTTAGAACAGCACTCTAAGATTTTATTTTATTTTTTTCTTTTCATATTTCTTCCCTGCCTCTGGCTTTACAGCAGTCTTTCAGATTTCCCACCCCCACCACTTTTAAGTTCTTTATTCTACTTCCAGCTGCTATGCTGGCTCGGGAGCCTCCTTGCAAAGCAAGGTTAAATAAGTAAAGAAATTACTAGGGAAGAAGGTCATTTCTGCTCTAGCCTTGAAGCACCCAATCCCAGAAACGGCTGGATGCTCTTCTCAAGGTGGGTAAGGGGAGCGTTCCAAGGTGCTCCAGATAATTAGGTGGGGGGGACTGGTAAGTAAAACAGAGAGGTCCACCTCCAGCAGTGGCCGGCAGACCTCAGGGCGGACCCACGAGGGGGTTTCCTTACCTACTAGGACAGCGATGGGGTCACGGACAAACTTGCGCCGGACCAGGATCTCGGGCAGGTGGCGGAAGACGGTGATGCTGGCGATCAGGTGGGTGCTGATGTCGTTCACCATGCTGGCCAGCTGGGCAAGAGTCGGGGAGAACTCCACCTGAAAGAGAAGCAGCCCGGGGTCAAGGAGAAGGGGCCAGCCTGCCACCAAAAAAAAGCCTCAGGAGGAGAAGCAGGAAGCAACCAAGGAAAGAACAAGGCCAGGACAGAAAGGAAACCCTGCGTGATGCTTTGTTTAAAACCAGCATCTGCTAATTTCTCTTGCCACGGTGGCTCCACCAGCACCGAATTCCAGAATTTTGAGCCGAAACATGCTGCTCACCTGTCGCGTGCCTTCTTCAAGTGGCCATCTGCCTGTTTGAACTCAGGGCCAAACAGAGACCACGAAGAAATACAACGAGGCTCCACCCGCCAAACGCATCCATCCCGCCATCCATTCCTTCCCAGCTCAGGGAGGGGGTTTCCGTATTTCCAAAGGGAAGGAGTGGGTCAGGAGAGGTGGCCTGCCTCAGCAGCACCTCCAGAGGGGCCATCCACCCCCCCCAGGGGCCCTCCCGAAGGACCCAAAGCAGGGGGGAGAGGCTGCAGGGGCTGACCTGTGGGGTCTGGCCTGGGTAGTTGTCCTGCAGAATCACTTTGACGCGGAAGAGGGGGTTGGGGCTGGTCTTGCCGTCCCCGTTGATGGCTTTGGAAAGCTCCATCAGGGACCACTTGACGTTCAGCCGCAGAGCGTCCTCCATCATCCGGTCCATCTTGATGGTGTAGTTGAACCAGTGCTGCTGAACCTGATGGGAGAGAAGCCCCAGGGCACAGATCCTATCAGGACAACCTTGATCCTACGCAAACGGAGAATCCTTAGGGTCAGTTCTGTCTGATACCGCAAACGCCAAACTCTATCAGGTAAGCTTGGGGGGGGGGCAGGGGCGGCTTCTGCTGAATTTGTTCAGGCTCCAGCTGGCCTTGAATTCCTCTTCCAAACCCTTCGCTCAGGGATCTAAGGACCAATGCTGGCCGTCGTCAGATGAACCAGAGAAACCAAGCCCACTGGCCAGGTATCCTCATTTCCAAAGGTACATCCGGAAGTGAAGAGCGCCCCACTACGCTCCTGCCCAAGAGCACCGCCCAGGGACCATTCCAGAAACAGACCCGGGGGCTTTCACGGCGGCTCGCTTCACTCGGAAGACACTTAGGATCAAGTGGTCCCGTTCTGAAGCCGCCCGCGACAACGCCCTCCCGCTCCTGACCTCTGGCCCGTCCAGCTTGAAGACTTCGTAGGTCTGGCGCATGATGGCGAGGCTGCCTTCATGGAGGTTGACCAACGTCTGCTGCACAGAAGCCCGGTGCTCCTTCTGGTCCTCCTCAAACTCCAAGTCATTGTAGACTCTCTTGCCGGTGAGGCGCACCAACAAGGCTTCGCTCATCTGCTGGGCTCGGCGAGCAATGGCCAAAGTGGCCGCCTTGTACTCGTTCACAATGTTCTGGACCTGCAGGCGAAGGGGGAAAAAAAGAAGAAGAAGGATGGATGGATGGATGGATGGATGGATGGATGGATGGATGGATGGATGGATGGATGGATGGATGGATGGATGGATGGATGGATGGATGGATGGATGGATGGATGGATGGATGGATGGGAGGATAGGATGGATGGATGGAAGGAAGGAAGGAAGCATAGATGGAAGCATAGATGGATGGAAGGAAGGAAAAGTAGGAAAGAAAGAAAAGGAAGGATGGAAGAAACGAAGAGTGGATGGATAGGCAAGTGATTGGGTGGATGGGGATGGTGGAAGGAGGGATGGATGGAGGATCATCATGGAGGAATGAATGGATGGACAGGTGCTTGGACAGGAAGGAGAAGGAAACAGAACAAACATAGCAGCAGTGGGAGGGACACCCAACTGATACCCATAATCACAGAGGAAGAAAGAAAAGGATGGATGGATAGGCAAGTGATTGGGTGGATGGGGATGGTGGAAGGAGGGATGGAGGGGGATCATCATGGAGGAATGAATGGAGGGACAGGTACTTGGACGGGAAGGAGAATGAAACAGAACAAACATAGCAGCAGTGAAAGGGACACCCAACTGATACCCATAATCACAGTATGGAGCAGGTGTGAAAGCCTCCAGAGCTGGAGGAAGCCAGACTTTCCATTAAAAAAGGGGATCTGGGACTATAAACCCCGGGAAGGAAGCACTCTGGTCCTATGGGGGAGAGAAAGCAAGGAAGAGCCAGTCAGCCCCACGGGCCGTACCAAAGCAACCCACTTTTGCCCAAGAGGAGGAGAAGCTGGAGCAGAAGCTAGAGGACAATCTAAGAGATGGGAGGCCACCTCGGGCAAAATGGAGAAGGCGATGCTGAGCGAAGAGGCTGGCCTCATTCACTGGCTCTTTTTTCCAAGTTCCAAGCACAGGGAATTACAAAAATGGCTAACCCAACCGGGTTTAAAAGCACTGCCAGCCTAGCAGAGTCCGTGACGAGGTTGAGGATCCCCAACTCCTGACTGGAACCTTTGGGGGAGGAAAAGCCCCCCCACAAGAACAGCCTGCTAAGAGATCCTCTGAATGCAACCACCCAGGAAGCCCAGCATGATGGGACCACAGAGTCTTCTCAATTAAAACCAGAAGGAGGGGCAGGGAGCGAGCTCTACCGGCTGACAAAAAGGAGCAGAGGGAACACATCCGCCCTCCTGAAGGCCGTGGGAGTTGGGTGTGCTTCCTGTTCCCCCCTGTCCCCCTCCAAGGCACTGGAGATCTCGACCGGCCTTGGGGAGCAGGAGACCGGCCATAGCCCTTCTCTCTCCAACCCACCCCAGACGAGGAGAACCCGACCTTGCTCGCGTGCAGCCGGCACTCCGAGATGAAGGCAGCGCTCGCCCCTTTGAGGGACCAGTGGAGCTTCTTCAGGCCCGGATGGATCTTCCTGTCTAGGAAGCGGATGCGCTCTTTAAACAGGCCCCTCTCCTCGGCGGACAGCATGCTGATGATCCTGAGCAGGAGCAGAAGGAAGGAAGGCAGCCAGCGAGAGAAAGAGAGAGAAGGACCAGTTAGTTATCGGCCCCACCAAATCGGGAGAACCTCCACAAGGTTTAACTGGACCAGCCCTGCTCCTTCAGTGGCTCCAACACAGTGGCAACAACCAATTTTTGACTCAGGATTGGAGACGGGGCCCTCCCGATTTTGCCGGATTACGTAGCCCATGATCCTGCTCCAGTGGCTAGGGGGGCTGGGAACGACAGTCCAACAAGATCTGGAGAGCCACGGATTTCCCCCCCCCCCAATTTATCCCCTAGCTTTCAAGACATAGAAACATGTAGTACACAGTCAAGAGGGAGCTTTTCCTAGTTGGTGTGAGTCATTAGGGAGGCTGAAGACCAAGGTAATCTTCATTCCGGAATCGGTCCAGCTGGGAAGCATCAGGGTGTGATGCTCCGCAGCGCAGAGCTCTGAACCCTTGGCATCCCAAGGACAGCCGGAACAAACGCACGCTCGGCCGGCCGGTCCCCTTCGGCTCGCCTTCCCTGAGCGAACCGGAGGGTGGGGTGCGGAACTGACGGAAGTGGGAGCCCAGCGCCTGCCCATTTCTCTCCCGCAGCACGGGTTTGGTCTCCAATTAATTCCCGAGTGGAAACAAGCCAGCAGCGCAAAAGAAATGCTTACAGTCCTGTCATGAGAAAAACGCAGCTGCCAAGACAAAAGCTCCTTTCAAACAACACATTCTCAGCGGAGAGACGCCTCCATGTCACACTTTGAAAAAGGTCCATGGCGAAGCAGAGAGAGAGAGAGAGAGTCCCCTTCCCTGCCAAGCACACCTTCGGAAATTTTAGTCAGGAAGCCGACGGCTCCTCGGATCGCCTTTCCAATCAGGAAGAGAGCCACAGAATCACAGAATTGTGGAGTTGGCGGAAGCCTCAAAGCCCACGGATCCAACACACACACACACACACACACACACACACACACACGGTTCGAGGCAGGAATCCCAATCCAAGCAGATCAGACAAGAGGGTGGACCAAAGTTCTCTTGAAGGCCTCCAGAGTTGGGAGCGCTCAAAACCTCCCGAGGTCATGGGTCCCCTTGTCGTCCTGCTCTAAACAGGGAAGACTTTTTTCCCCCTGACGTGCAACTGGTGGACCCGACCAACGGGTTCCAGCTGCAAGAAAGGGGAGTCCGTCCAAGTCTTACGTACATCAGAACCTCCCGGCGGTAAGAGCTGTTCAGCAGGAGAATGGACCATCTCAGAAGGCAGTGAGTGGGGTCGCCTTTGTCAGAGAGGGATCTGAACGGAAATCGGATGGCCGCCTGCTGGAGATGCCTTAGCTTAAGGACACCTGCCCTGGCAAGGGGTTAAACTAGGTGACCCTTCTGCTGGACCTCCTTGGATTCTGAATACACAGAATCGTGCTCGTTTTTCAAAACTCCTGTTGAAAAAGCAAACCGAGGCAAACAGCGACCCTATCCTGACAGTAGGCTGGGAAGGTGGGACCACAGTGAGTGCGGGCGGCCCATGTCCTCTGACCGGAGGCTCTGACCACCCACCCCCCTCGAGACAGACAAGAGAGAAGAGCCATCCCTCACTCCATCACCAACAGGACGTCATTTCTCCCGAGGAAACCAAGGCTGGCAAAACTGGTGTCTTCCACCGACTGGAAAGCCCAGCATACTTTGGACCTCCCAAGTGACCTGTTTTGGTGCGGGTCTTCCCCCACCTGCTAGATCCTCCTCCCCCCCAAAAAAATACCCCTTTAGATTTTGGAATGGGTCTCTTACTGGGTAGCCTACAACAGCCAGCACCCCATGCCAACGTAGCTGGTGGGGAGGGGGTTCTTATGCCCAGACACCTCTGGAGGGCCACCAGCAATTCAACCCTGGCACTAAATCACCCCGTCTGAATCCTGTTCAAAAGGACAGAGAGCACCCCAGCCTTAAAACGAGCGGAGGCAGAGCACGAAAAAGGAGTGACTCTGATTGCATGACATTATTCAAAAGTGCATTATAGATGCAAAGGGGATCCGTTCAGCCGCAACTGCTCCCTGGTGTTAGGGACGTTCATCCGGACTGCTCACAGCACGGCGGGGGGGGGAGGAAACACAATTCCTTATGATCCTGGCTATAAGCTGTGGGGAGCATGTGACACACACAGACACAGACACATGCCCCGAGAGTTGATGGCTCATAACCCATGCCGTTGAGCAGGACAGGTGGCAGTTCAACAGGATCAAGACGGCCCCATGTCCCGTCCCCCACCCACCCCCAGCCCAGCCCTGGAGGGTGAGATGCCTCTCGTGCCAAATACAGTGGTGCCTCGCTAGACGCTGATAATCTGTTCCACTGAAATCACTGTTTAGCAAAATCATCATCTAGCGAAAAGCATTTTCCCACTGGAATGCACTGAAACCTGTTTAATGCGTTCCAATGGGGAAGAATCGTCGTGGTCTAGCGAAAATCGGTCATAGGAAAGCCGCTTTGCAAACCGCCAATCAGCTGTTTAAATAGCTGTCTTGTTAAGCTTAGGTCCTGAAAACACCCATTTTGCGAGCATGGAGGGAGCTGTCAAAATAGATGTCTAGCGAAAATCGGTTTGCAAAGCAGGGACCAAACATTGTCCAGCGAAATTCCCCCATAGGAATCACTGTTTTGCGAATCGCTATAGCGATCGCAAAACGTCAAAGTCTAGCGAAAAAACGGTCATGCGGGGTAACTATCTAGCGAGGCACCACTGTAAGGTCATCTGCCTGCTGTTGAGCCGGCCGGCCCACCTATTATAGTCTCGAGCCACCAGCAGCAGGTTCTCCCGGAGGCAGCGCAGGTCCTCTTTCCTTTCGTAAACTTCGACCACATAGTGGGGGATTTCAAAGAGCACCCTCTCCCAGTAATGGATTTCCACAAACAGCTTCAGCAAGTGCCTGTGGGGGAGACAGAGAGGAAGCCCCGTCAGGTGGGCAGTGGGTGGGGGGGATACGAGGCCACTGCCCTTCCTTGTTCCGGCGGGCGGACGCTCGGCACGGTCACACACACCCCTCCTCCGGGGCTCCTCGCTCACTTGTCAAAGTTGATGTCCAGCATGCCGGGCTTCTCGCTGCTCAGGACGAGGAGGGGGGTGTCAAGGCGCTTGAGGCTGTCCTTGTCCAAGGTCTGGGCCCACTCCTGAAAGGTCCTCCGCTCAATCTCGTCCATTGCCTGGACCAGCAGCTGGTAGGTCTGGAAGCTCTCTTCTCCGGTCCCGATGTGAGGGATGAAGTGGGCTTTCTTCAGGCACTGCCCGGGAGAGAAAAGAAGAGGGTCATGGCCCTTGGACGCTGTGCCGGGTAAGGGACACCTTGGTCTCCCTCCTGGTCACCCAGTGGGGCACGGCGTGCAACGGAGAGCTCACCCCACTGCCCATCCATCAGGCTCCACCAGCCCCGCAAGGGCATGCCAAGGTGCCGGACAGAGATATATCAGGGGTTGAACTAGAGCAGTGGTTTCCACAACCTTGGGCCTCCAGATGTTCTTCGACTTCAGCTCCCAGAAATCCTGGCCAGCAGAGGTGGTGGTGAAGGCTTCTGGGAGTTGTAGTCCAAGAACATCTGGAGGCCCAAGGTTGGGGACCACTGAACTAGAGCATCTTCCGGAGGTGAAAGAGATGCTCCAGGACTGAGCCATGATCCCTCCACGTCACGTCCAACCATCAAACACAGGGGCTCCCAAACGGCCCAAAGGTGTTCTTGGGACTGCCACTCCCGGCCAGCACGGCTGGTGGTGAGAGCATCTGGGAATTACAGTCCAAGAATACCTGGGTGGCCCAAGGTGGGGAACCACTGACGCCGCAGATGTAGGTTCCCAAACCTTATGCTCAACAAGACAGATTGAAACCACGTCTTTCTTGGCAACCGTGGCCATATCTGCCACGGAAAAATTGCAGAGCCCAGGTGGCCTGGTCTGAGCATGGCCTCCTCTTGCCCTGAAAGCACAAGTGAAATGCTTATAACCAGACAGGGGGTGATTCCCGACCACCCAACCGAACCCATGCAAGGTTTAGACTCCTGAGCGGAGGGCTTCACGCGTTCGAATCGGGCGGAAGAGAGGCGAGCAGAGCAGTGACAGGTTTGGCGCTCACCTGCTTCTCCTGACGCCATCCCTCGCGCCCGAACCCTCACGGTTTCCTGGACTCCCTCCCACCCAGTCTTGAGCAAAGCTAGAACATTAGTTCATTGCTCGGGCAACAGGAGGAATGAACAAAGTGGGAAAATAAAATCCCCGTTGCCCATTAAACTCTTTCGGGTGGGTGTAAATGAAGAAAACAACATATGCCATTTCGAAAAACCAGGCCAATTATTTGTGCCAAAATAATAGGGACGGTGGGGTGGGGGGGAATTATTAAAAGGCTTTTTTTAAAAAGCTTTCGTTATTAGCAAAGCTGAGTCAGCCATGACAGGTCGGTTCTTCTCCCAGCCTGAAGGCCTCTCTGTCGGTGTGCGAAAAACGCTCACAGCGCACAGCAGCACCAGTACCCGAGAGAACTCGGGGAAAATCCTTGGCTGGGGATTGTGGGAGTCATAGTCCTTCCCCCTCAAGCTTTGATACCGATCGGCTTCAAAAGCCACCGGAGAGAGCCAGTAGCCCACCCTCCTTCTCAAGCCACCCATCATGTGCTTGCCTTTTTCTAGACCGGGACTGGATTATACGCCTTGAGCCATCATCTGGAAAAGCCTGTTTCCTGTTTCTTGTTTGAGTCGGGATAAAGTTTGCGTCCCAGACAAGCCCAGTGCCAAACGTCTTCGAGATCCATTCCCCCCCCCCCTTGCGTACCAGCGAGAAGGAGCAGCTTAGTGCACCAACGACGAGCCCATGAAAGGTTTGGAGAATTCAAACGAGGATGGCCCCTGAAGACAGGGCACGTCCACTCGCCTGGCACCCAGCGAGGGAAGGAGCCCCATGGGAGGGAAGGCAGTGGCTCTCTTCTCTCTAGGCTCTCCCCTTGGCCAAGGTGACCCCCGGACACTGCCCTCTCTCTCCCTCAACCAGGAGCAGTGGCACCCCTTCTGGACCCAAAATGGACCAAGCTCTGCAGCAGAACATTCTGCCAAGGCTTGGCCCACCTCACCATCAAGTCAGCCATGTTTGTAGCCTGATCTAAACACCCTTCACCAATCCCAGGTTAAACAATATGATAACGGGGGTGATGGTACGGGCCCCTGCAGTTGAGATCTGCTGGCCGGAAGGGGTTAGGATGATGCAAACGCCCTGCAAGCAAACCCCCCGCTCGCTGGTTCCCTTTCCAGATCTCCTTTGGGCCACAGTCCCAGTGCTCAAGGGGGTGGTGGTTGCTGGACATGCAGGACAAACTTTCCGGCGAAGCCCAGGGGCAGAAGGCCAGTCCTTCCTCCTCCACCCACCGGAAGCTGCCCTTGTTGACGCTACAAGGGGCCTTTCCTGGTTCAGCCTCAAAGTGAATTTCTACACTGGGAATCAGGCACCTTCTGGACCGCTTGGAGGCATGGAGATGGTTCATTACTGGCACATCCCGAAAACACTCCTTTTGAGCCTCTCTGTCTCTTTTCCGCGACTACGCAAGCCGGGCTACGGTTGCCCAGCTGTCCGACGCCAGCGACGGGGGAAACCCAATTTGAGATTAACAAGAAGTTCATTCGTTTCTCAGGGTGGCCGAGACGGCAGACCGGGGGGGGGGGGAACCCTGTGAAACTGGCAATTCAGAGGGAAGGCAAGCATCAGCCAAACAAGACCTGCCGGTTGGGACTGACATCAAGGAAGGAAGGAGAGGAGCGATTGGACGGATTAGCCAGGGTCTCCAGGAAGTAAACTGATTGACTGATTGATCCATTCCCCCCCTTGCAAAGAGCCAAAGGGACTAGCAACATGTATAAGACATAAATAACTCGGAAATGGCAGATACGACCCAGGGGGGATTATGCACACACGTCTCACCCCCAAACAGGGAACCACACCAAGAGCTAACCAGGGGCCGACATCAAGGGGTAGGAAGAAGGCATTCCAGCTGTTTGATGGCTCGGACGCCTGGCCGCAGGGAGCCGAGTTCTAAGCAGGATGCTGCCAAGAGAGTTGGAAACCTCCTTGGAAAGGGAGAAGAAAAGGAAGCCCAAATCGCTGCAGACAGTCCACACTCCCCTTGCATGCTGAGAACATTACACGGTCCCAGCAAGAACTTTTCACATCGCCTGCCGTTTTGTTTTGTAGTGGATCTTTTATATGCCAAAGCGGGCTTCGTTCTCAGCCCAATCGCAAAGGGATGCCCGAGCCATGAACAAGACAGACTCTCACAACTCCTTAAAGGCTAACAAGTTTTACCTGGCATCAGCTTTTGGGGGCTTCAAATGTAATTGGGCTAAAGTCCCCACCAGCTGGTGTCAAAGAAAACATGTTCACTTTGAGGTGCCACTCAGCTGTGTGGCAGGAACTCTACTCATTTCCCACGCTAGCAAAGTTATGCTCAAAACCCTCCAAGGTAAGCTTCAGCAGTAGGTGGACCGAGAACTCCCAGGAGTAAAAGCTGGATTTCGAAGGGGCAGAAGAACTAGAGACCAAATTGCTAACATGTACTGGATTATGGAGAAAGCCAGAGAGTTCCAGTAAAACATCTACTTCTGCTTCATTGACTACACAAAAGCTTTTGACTGTGTGGATCACAACAAACTATGGCAAGTTCTTAAAGAAATGGGAGTGCCTGACCACCTTATCTATCTCCTGAGAAATGTGGGACAGGAAGCAACAGTTAGAACTGGATATGGAATAACTGATTGGTTCAAAGACAAGGCTGTACACTGTCTCCCTGCTTATTTAACTTATATGCAGAATACATCATGCAAAAGGCTGGACTGGAGGAATTCCAAGCTGGAATTAAAATTCCCGGAAGAAATATCAACAACTTCCGATATGCAGATGATACCACTCTGATGGCAGAAAGTGAGGAGGAATTAAAGAACTTCTTAATGAGGGTAAAAGAGGAGAGCACAAAAA